CGTTTCCCCCCCTGCCAGGCGCAGCCCCCGGCGCCATGTGGTCCGTGCTCTGGGCGGCCGTGCGCTCCAAGGCCCCGTACGTCACCTTCCCGGTGGCTTTCGTGGTGGGGCTGGTGGGCTACCACCTGGAGTGGTTCCTCCGCGGCCACCCCCCGCCCGCGGCCGAGGAGGAGAAGAGCATCTCGGAGCAGCGGGAGGAGCGCAAGCTGCAGGAGATCGCGGGCAAGGACCTGACCAAGGTGGTGAGCCTGAAGGACAAGCTCGAGTTCGCCCCTCGGGCCGTGCTGAACAGGAACCGCCCGGAAAAGAGCTAATGAAGTTGTTCGGGCTAACGTGGAGCCCTGGAGCTACTGGTCCCAGCACGGGCTGGGCACTCCCCTGGCACCTGCACATCGCCCACCAGCCTCCCGCCTGCACCGGGCTGTCCCTGGGCACAAAGTTGTGCCCACTGCTGCTCTGCACCCCCCTGGGGCCCACCCAGAGCTGCTCCTTTGTGGGGTGCAGGCGGGGAGCCATGCGATGGGAGGTGGAGTGTGTCTGAAACTCTGCAGCTCTCGGCCTGTCCCGGCCCCTGAACCACGAAACCCTCTTGGCCTGGTCCCACCCGCGTCTCGTTAGGTTGGGTTTTTTCCATGGCATAAAGATAGAAGAAACTTGGACCTGAGTGACGCGGGGTCAGGGTCAGGCCGTGTGCCTGCGGCGGGAGGATCTGCTGGCCCGCTCTCCCGTGGCTCTTTGCGAACCCCGACCATGCGACGTCGCACCCATGGGAGTCCGAGCGGTGGCGGCGATCTCTGGGGAGCCCCTCTCTGTGTCATCCCCAGGCTTTGCTGCGAGGAATGGGGACGGGGGGGAGGTGGAAGTCCTGGCCCTGCTTCTGTCCTGCAGCTCCGAGCGTGGCGGTGGCTTTGGGCTGGCGTGTAGAGAGCGGGGAGGTCTCTGCCCTGTGTGGGAGCAGCCGGAATAAACTTCTGTCAGTCCTCGGGCCTCTCTCTTCAGCGTCAGCACCTGGCCTGGCTCAGAGCGTGTTTCTGCTCCCCATGTTTTCGAGAAGCAGCTCCTTCTACCATGGGAGATGTGTCACCGTTGTCCCTGGCTGGGCACTGCCTTTGGGGCCTGGCAGCAGGGTGGTGGGCAGGGAGAAGGGGGAGGCACCGAAATCCCAGCCCCTGCTGCGGTTGTGCCTCCCTCCCGTCTCCCCCGGCCATGTCAGCCGCTTTTCTTGGGCCTCCTTATCTAGACAAGAAGGGCTGTGGCAGCGCCAGGCGGGGCTCCCAGGGAACGGGGGGGGTCCTGCTGAGCTGGCAGCGAGCGCTGGGGACCGGTGGCTGGTGTCCCCTCCAGCCTCACGTGTCACCAACTTGGCAGGACCAAGCCCTGGCGATGGCTGCCCGAGCAGGTCACCGCCTGCCAGGCCCGGAGCCGGGGTTATCGCTGCTTCCCGGCTTGTTTTTTCCCTTGGTGCCTGAGCTGCTGCCCCAACCCGGCCTTCCTTTCCCGGGGACGATAAATCTGTCGTGTCTGCTGCGAAGCCCTGAAGTCAGCAGCCGGTTCAGCATTTCACATCGCTCTGTCCCGCTTCCTCGGGGCTGGCTCCTGCCCCGCTGACAGCTTTACTGCCGGCGCTGCCCAGCTGTGTTTGCCTCCCAGCCTGGCTTGCTGCCCTGCAGCCGGGCGCGCGCCCCAGCACCGCCAGGAACCCACAGGCCTCTGCTGTCGCTGCGGGCAAGGGCGGCTGAGGCTGGGTTGGAAGGTGCAGGCAGAGTCTGGGGGCGACGCAAAGGCTCTCCCGGCCCTGCACTGGGGCTCACAGCACCTCTGGGGCAACTGCCCCGATCCCCCTGGCAAGCTGGTGCTGTCCCCTGGGCTAGCCCCTGCCCTTGGCCTCTTGCTTTCCCAGCCCGGCTGAGGGGCGATGGCTGGTCCCTATTGTGCACTGGGGTGGGAACAGTCCTGTCCCTTCCCCCAACTGGGACCAGCTGGACCCAACTCGGAAACGTCTTCCGAGATGCCTTTGTTCACCCCGCGACGGAGCGGCTCCCTCGGCTGTTTATAACCCATTGATCTGCCTGTTCCCAGGGCTGGCCGGGCACAATTGGGCTTTGTCGGGGCCTCGCTGCCCCGTTTCCTCCCCTGGGCCCCCGTGGTGTCGGTCAGGGGGGGCTGCTCGGGCGCGGTGCTGGGAAGGGCTCAGCCCTGGCAGCGCCTGCCCCGCTCCCGCTGCGTTTCCAGCTGCTTTCCGTGCGTCTGAGGATTCCCGTCCATCCCCATGGCAGACACCGGCGTTGCGGGCCGTGGATTCCCCGCAGGCACTGGGGCAGGGGTAAACCCGCTTCCCAGCCACTGGCTGCCTTTCTCCTAAACCCTCGGTGCCGTAAACCCACCCTTCCTCCCATTGAATCCCAACAATGTGCTGCCTGGGAAGCGTCGCCGGCACAAGAATAGGAGCCGGCGAGCGCTCAGGGCTGGGGCGAGCAGCCACAGTAGCTCACGAAGAGCCAGAGGAAGCTTTGCTGAATAAACCATTATGGCTTCCTGAGCCTGCAACGCGACGGCTGAAGCTCAAGTCCTTGGTCTGGGCCGGTGTGTCCATAATCCAGCTGTCCCCAGCGCAGCGCAGCCGGGCGCTGCCGCGGGAGCGTGGCGAGGAGCCGTGCCAGCAGCGTGGCCGGGGCTGTGTGAGGCTGGGGAGCCTGTCCCCGTGC